TTTTTTTTTTGTTGGGAGAACGGGCGAAAATCCGTGCGCGCGCAGGATGTCATCCATAAAATTAAAAAAGTGTGGCCTTAACAAAAAAAAAACGTTGAGTAAACACAATCACGTGCTCAACCGGTTGCTTTACCTCGTTTTCATTGCAAGTTCCTTATCATACCTGAATGTCTAAAGCGAGTTTCTAATTTGGAGAATGTATATAGGTCAACCGGAAGCACGTTCTACAATCGTGACAGTTCTTCTAACTGCTAGACAACATCGAACACAATGTCCCACATCACACGGACCATGAAGAGGTCGGAGGAGAATACTCAGACGATTTAGATTCAACATTTCTACTATATTGGGCTGGAGACTCGAAAATTGTAAGTTCTGTTTCAAAATTGTGTTTAATTCTAGCGTTACACGTAAACTTTTAATGCAGACGATATTTTTCGGCTGAATCAGTGATCAATGAACTTATAGTGTACTTAGCAATTTTGAGTGTCGTTTGTTCTTTGGCACTGGTTCGTTTGCACCCCCTCTTTCTTTTGTGCCTGCATTTCATCATGGCTTGGACTGATGCAGTGATTGGACAGGGTGTAATGTTACTGCCTTCATCTTTCCAATTTTCCCGCGGATTCGTGTACCGAATAAGAACTTCCACTCTGTATATACATTTTAATCTATTATTATTATAACAAATATGTTATATTTACCACTCATTTTTCAAACATTGGATATGACATTGTTTAGCAAATCTACCCGCTTTGCTTCACGCATTTTAATGTGTATTGTATTGCATCATTCATAATGGTAGGAGTATATTATTGCATCACGCCAACTTTCTCATACCAGTACATGTATGGGGCACCCTACCTATTTCTATTGCTGCCACTATATCCACTGCCTTTGCTTGCTTATCAAGGGAACAGTCTCACAGTCACGGTAGGGAGAGTTGCAGAGAACGTCTCTATAGGGTGGTGAGGGGTGTGGTATTGACCCAAAAGTTAATATAGATAGGCTTTTGGTAATGATTTTATAAACTAGAATATTTATTATTATTATTATTATTATTATTATTATTATTATTTATGCAGCCAAATGCTCATTAGCTCATAGATGCTCAGTTAATGCTATACAGCGGAAGGAAGAGATTTTTTTTCTTGATACTCGGTGATACTCAGCAGAGATGGTGGCAATCATACTTGTGTGCTAGCACACTAGTATTGGTATTTAAAATGCACAGCGAGTCTGAAAAATGTAAAAAAAAGAGCAGCGGTCTGTTCTAGAAATGTAGTGCATGAATTGTTATATAAAGATGCCACTTCATTTGTTCAGCTGGATACTTCAAGCTCTCATAAATTGATTCTTGACACTTTTAATCCAGGTTAACAGAAATCCTCATCCACGTTAATTACAATCATGAGCAGATTTGTTATTTATCCTAATAAATGGCCTTAGTGTGAACTAGGTCACATACGTTTTTATTATCAGAAAGGCCAAACCTGCAATAATATTCAACAAGCAAACTTGCACTTTTATGCTACATTACAATTATGATATCCATATGTTGCATTTGTGCTATGAAGAGAACCATACCATATAAGATGCCACGTAAACATTGCATGTCAATATATACTTTAAGTTATTGTTTCGTAGGTCTCAGTTTAAAACATTAACTGAACTTGCGTGATGGGAAGAAATTCAGACGCATGTGTGTTGGGGTCATCTGGTATATTTTCCATTAAGGGCATATTTTCAGATTGCTCATTTCTTCTGAAGACAAGCAGACTTACTAAATCATTAGCATAGGTTGTGATCTTACTGTGACATCCATTCATTTGAGCTCTGATGAAACACCATTGACTTTTTATACCTATATCCAAGAAAAGGAAACTTTTATCAGTCATGTGACTGAATGTATATTTGGCTTGTAGTGCTTATTTAGAGATAAAAAAAAATTAGATTCACAATCTGTGCAGTCTTGTCTCTGATTTGATATACAAATATACCTTAAGGCTAACATTACTGCATCTCTGACTCATTATTTTAGTAGGGAACTAGTCTAGACTAGTCTGATATATAGCACATTCAAGAAGTAAGTAAATAGATGCCAAATTTTATAATCATATGCTCACAGTTGCTTGTCACAGCACATTTTTAAAATTGTTTTGAATATTATTTTGACTCAGATTTGAATAACTTAAACTAGGATTAAACCTGATGGAGAGTTAAGCAGCTATTTAAATGGGAGACCAGGGGCTATTTTAAATATGGCTGTGGGTAGGTTGTGTTTGTATGGAACAGAGTAGTGATGAGATGTTAGGTACCTTAACCTTGTGTAGAATTTACTTTAATTTGATCAATCATGTACTTTGTATGTGATGGACATAATAGTATCTCAGTGTTCTGATAATATATGTGACTTTTTTGAGTGATGTACATAATGAAGTACATTGTATTCCAGCATCTTTGTTCTCCAGGCTGCTGTGGCAATTTTTTTTTTCTGTCTGCTCTTATAATCCCGGCTGAATGCCATCATGATTATTGCATCCACAACAATATATCTACTTGTTGATCCTGTTTATTTCAGGCATATGACTCCCACCTAGATGACGAAGTGAAACGTGAACACCAATGCGTAGTTAAGTCCATTTGCCACATTAAAAAACTGTGGGTTGTACTATTTGAAGGTGAGTAAGGACTTTTTCCTCTATATTTTACACTTACATAAGCATTTAATGTTGACTAAGACATGACAAAAACATCATCTTCATGATAAAATGTCATGACTGCAAGATGTTGGTGTACTCGCACTGTACAAGAGATTTTTTTTTGTTTAAAGGTATTCTATCCAGGATTTTTCTGCCAAATTGAATTTTTTCGAAAAAAAAAAAGAGCAATTTTTTTCTGCTCTTGAAACATATAAGTCCACTCAAATAATATATTTTCTAGTAAGTAAGTGCTAAAATGAAGTTTATTTTTCTCTTCATGTTGAATGCAACAGAGGTAGGAAGATGTCTCAGGTAGCTGTGGAGCCCAGAGAGTTGATAACCCCTGCACTGAACCAGAAGGAAAAGCTGCCACATTATGTGGATGCTGCCATAGATTTTATTGGAGGGACTGCAGGTGGGCTATCAGAGATAATACTGGGATACTTTCTTATGATACAGGCTAAGTGTTGACCTAATAGGTACCCTTCTTTGACTGTGTTCCCATAACCTTATCATACTAGCAGGATCAATCTATTTCAGTGAGGATTCTCACTAAGGTGCAATTAGCTTAATTGTCTGGCACACACCCCCTCATAAAGCAACATGTACAACATAAAAGACCACAAAGTTTTTCCGACTTTACCCAATTAATTTAAGTTACGAGGGGGAGTGCCAGACATTTAAGTTGCTTAAACTGAATGCAATTTAGCCAGAGTCCCTAAGGAGTTAGATTGATCCAGCTAGTGAATTAGGGTTATGGAAATGGCCCCTTTCTCACAAGCTTGATTCTTCTGCACTGAAAATGTATGAACCTATAAAAAAGGCTATCTTTTTGATTTGATGATGAATAAGGTGCTGGAATGATTGGATTAAACTGAAAGCAAGATCTGGAACCCTTCGTGTGCACGTGTAACTGAGAATTATGGTACATGAATGTGGTTTTAACTTCTTTGTTAAACTTTTATTCATCAGTATTTTAAGAATAATGGCATATTAATGTATTTTCAACCACTTTATTTGATTATTAAACAGTATTATTCCGTCCTGTTTTGACAGAATTTCCATTAGGAGAAAGTGTTTGTGATATGTTTTCTTTTTAAAAACAAGATCTCTTAGTTGTAACACACTTTTTCAGGTGGGATAGCCAATGTGTATGTAGGACAACCTCTGGATACAGTAAAAGTTAAACTGCAGACATTTCCAACCTACTATAAGAATGCTTGGCACTGTTTTAAACAGACTTATACCAAGGAAGGCATTGCCCGTGGCCTGTATGCAGGTACCGGACCAGCACTTATGGCTAATATTGCAGAAAATGCTGTGCTTTTTGCAGCCTATGGACAGTGTCAAAAACTGGTAGCATTTGGCGTTGGAAAAAGTGGAAAAGTTGATGATCTAAATGTTGTTGAGAATGCCTTGTCTGGAAGCTGCGCTGCTGTATTTTCTTCTATTGTTCTCTGCCCTACTGAACTGGTGAAGTGCCGTCTCCAAGCCATGAGGGAAATGGCTGTCACTGGTCTGTCTGAAAAGCAGAGAATGTATGTTGAGATTTTATTTTCTCTCTGCATCATTTGCAGTCATGAAATTTACATGTAGTATATGAGAAAAAAACACCACATTTCTCTTTATTGCAATTTCAGCACATTGCTACTTATATAAAAGTTTATGTAATTCTGAGTTATGTAAGATAAGTTCATCTTGAGATCTCAAAGAACATTTTTTATCACGAGGGGAAATGTTATCAGTGTAAGTTTATACACAGAATCTGATGACATTTGGCAACAGATTGATCTTTCAGTAAGGGATATTTTTATTTTATGGATGTAATGTTTATATGTATATTCACAGACACTTTATATGTCTGTTTATATTATGAGCGCTGTGTTTGTCTATGCCATTGCTGGCATATCTCTCCTCAGTTCCAAACCATTTTTTTTAACTTGAAATTTTCATATTTTAGCATGTTGTGATTTTTTTTCGGGATCTCAGCATGCTGAGAAAAAGAGTCCCTCTTTGGGATTATTTTTTCAGCATATTGGGATTACTTTTTTCATGTTTAGTTGAACCCAATGAGCTACTTCTGATAAAAAATGTTTTATTTGTGACAGAGGACCTTACCAACTCACCAGGCAGATTCTTCAAGAGGAGGGTTACAGGGGGCTATTTAAGGGATTGTCTGCCACATTTGCCAGGGAAGTACCAGGGTATTTTTTCTTTTTTGGAGGTTATGAAATCACGAAAGCATTCCTCACTCCCCCAGGAAAGACTAAGGATGATGTAGGTAAGATGGCATAAAGCACTGCTTTAATATAACTTATATCTTCTATTACACATCATTTAAATTGGGTCATCGAAATGAGGACAGCTGCCCATTATCTGATAAACCACTTGTGTTTCTGTCATATATGTGCTCATGTATTTTATTACATACTCTAGTCTCGGGCTGGTGAAAAATCGTATGCTTAAGACAGTTTGGCAATTTTTTTTTAAATTTCAAAGCTTAGATAAAAAAGTAGAACTTGGAAAATTGAATGTCAGCATCTTCCAAAATAACAAAAAAAGTTGCAACGTTGCTGTAATCTGTTGGGTTAATAACTTTAAGCCAGAGGTTTTCATTGAGTATTATCAGACCCCACTTGCCTGGATATGAGTTCATATTCTGTGTTGATTATATCCTTTTTTTTCCCCCCAAGGGCCCCTTGGTACAGTTCTAGCGGGGGGCGTCGGAGGAGTGTCTTTGTGGATTGCAGTATTTCCTACAGATGTGGTGAAATCTAGAATCCAGGTTCAGTGCGTTGGGAAAGGGGCGACTCCTCCCTTTTTTGGTACACTGATTAAGATATTTAAAGAAGAAGGTAAATACATATTTTCCAAGGAATTAATTTTTAATGAATGAGCATGCAGTTTCCATTGGTATTTTATAATAGATTTTAAAGAATAGGTGTATATGTTTAAATTCAAAGGAGAATGAGAACAAATATTTGATCAAGCCACATATTGGCTGCATTGATATGTACTATTCAAAATTATTTTGTACATAAAATGGTTTTGAAAAAGTTGCAGTATATTTGACATAATGATTAAAGTAATTTTACTGCAAACATGCACATTCATTATTTAATAATACTTGACTATACAAGCAGAATAACCAACAAAATATATGAAATTGACATCCAACAACAAACAACAGTATCGATAAATTCTTGTCTGCTAATAATTATTTACGTTAATGTGTTTCAGGTATAGGTGCCCTATATAGGGGTCTTGGGCCAAATCTGTTAAGAACATTTCCTTCAACTGGTGCTCTATTCTTGGCATATGAAGTGACAAAAAGGAACCTGACCAACTTGGCGTCTTCCTAGCACACTGTTCACTGCTTTGGAACGAAGACTCAGCTGAAGATACCATGTGGCAGCTTTTCATTTTATGTTCATGTCACGTCATACCTCCATATTTATTCATACACATGAGCAGACTGATTTCCTGATATGTATCAATATGATTGTCAAGAACATGAAGCACATTTTGAAATATATCAGCATTAATTTTGTAAGCTGATGAATTAATAGGAAACAGGACAAGCTCAATACAAGTCAACAATGGGACCATGTAATATGAAAATGGTGAAGCATAGACTCAGAACTTTGCTTATTTTAGAGACAAGAAAACTGAATTTTTTATTTTTAAATATGCTCATGCAGGAAAGGCTCAATGGGTGCTGCACAGTTATGAAAAATACACAATTTTAAAGTGACAAAAGGACTAGTCCCCTGCACATCAGATGATTGGAGTTGTATACACTGTGACTGAAATAAATCTGAAAAGGATGAAGGACCATACGTACTTTTATGCCAATGTTCCTGTAGTTTGCAGTCGTAAATGATAACGTTTATAATAATAATAGTGACAATAAACGATGGAGAAGCAGCAGCTTTGTCTGGAGAATTCTTTTTCCCTGCAAAAACCGTGTTCTTTTGAAGGTGGAACTAACCTGTTGCCTAAGCAATTAATGGTTGGGATTTTCCTCCCTTTAAAACTTTGACTCTTGTCTCCTCAATGCCAATTCCTTTGGACTGTAAAAGGCCATCAAAATTATTGCCAGTCTTTCAAATGAATGGAAAGTATTAAACACGTATACTTCAACAAATTAAGTTAAAAGTGAAACTCCATTTTATCATATCAAAAATAGTGCAAATATATGTGAAGGCCTCAGATCGCTGCCGTTCTCAGACTGTTGTAAGAAAATTGGTCTCTACAATGTACTTTACAATAATATTTAAACCTTACTGTCTTAATGTTTTCTTTATCATAGAATATGACAATTTTAAGTTAACACACAATCAAGATGTGGCGTTAATTAATCCAGTTTTAACATAACAACAACCATAGCAAAGATGGAATTAAAATAAGTTCTGGTATTGCTAGGAGTCCGTAAAATTCAGCCCCGTCAGTCTGAGGACAGCAAAAAAGCCTCTTGACCTATACTATTTAAGTTAGTTAAATCACTTGGTCAATTTCTCTTTATTTATAATATTGGTGACGTGGGTAAGCTTCGCATCCGAGGCCTGTCATTCCTAAAAAAAAGCCCCCCCCCCCTTCAAATAATCCTGGATCTGCCCCGTATAAGCGGTATATTAATCTGTCCCAAAATCAATTGACTAGTAAGTAATCGTATCGGCATCTTTGTCTCAATAAGTGTCGATAATGTATGAATATTGGCGTAAATGGCTAGCCTAGCATACGTGGTTAGAGTTCAATGTCATTTTTCAATAAGCAGTTTAAAAATAAAAACCAGAAAAACTAATTATGTATTTTTCTCTTTCATACGAAGATGGGTAGAATATTGCTTACTTTTAAATGATTTCTTCCTTTTCAAAACGGAAAAGGAAAACGGTGAATATTAATTGTTATAAATGTTGAAAAAAAATGAAAACTTTTCTCCCACCGAGATAGCATTTTCGATGAAAGGGCAGTATGACATGCATGACGCCATATCGGGTCAGCAATTGACTCAATCCAAGTTTGATCTGTTACGTACCTTAAAAAAAAGTCCAATGAGCTTCCCCTCGTCAGCACCATTTTAAGGACTTTTAAGTGAAGAGAAAGGAAGTATTATTGACGATGCAGATTTGATGATAATGACCAGCAAAAGTTGATGTCAAATTGATCACTTATTGTAAACAAATACCGTTTTTTTATGCAAAAGGTTCATATCAAAACACCTTATATATCTTTAAGAAATAAATCTACTTCAAAAGATGTAAAATCTTAAAAGATGCATCACTGGGACAACTTTTTTTACTGTTGATGCAAAAGGTAATTTGCGTGGACCCACGAGAGCCCGCATTCGTTCGTGTGGCTTCCCGAATCCACGGCCAGGTCGACGTCGATGCTGTGATGGACTGACATGCGTCATCTGGGATACGAACCCGTGACTCTACGTCACCACGTTTGTTGACGGTTTTGCATTTGTTTTTTGCAGCCTTGCACGCTACCGACTGCGTCGTGACAGACCCGCCCACCCTCCTTCGTTACGAGTTTCCTCTTATAGTAATCAAAGGCAGTTTTTGAAAATGATTTCTGGCAAAAAAGTTTCGGTTGGATTCTCGAACTCGAACCAGCGTACAACTGTCTACCTGCGTCCAAGACGGCGGAGTTACCACGGAGCCAGACATACTTGGCTACGGAAATATTGATCAAATGGAAGTCTTTACATTCTCACGGAGAAGGCCACTTTGGACATCTACACGAAGATATCTGCAATTACGATCGACAGTCGGGGTGCCGCATTTCTTCCCGACCCACGCCAGGTCCCGAACATGGTCTACCCATGAACATTGAAGTTCATCATGTCCACTAAACCTTGTTTAACAACCTGGATCGAAGCGTTCCTACATTGATGGCTTTCTTTTACCGTCAGTCAGCGAGAAATTCTATTGGACGGTTTAAGTTTAAGCAAGCCCCTATGAAGAGGAAAGCGTTAAAAAAACGTTCAAATGAGTGAAGACTGGTGCGCTTTCCATTCTAGCATGCGCAATTGCGACGATGCAAATTTTAAGAAAAAAAAATATTTGGGAAATAATTCCGCCCATAAGATGCCATCTTTTTCTGCTGATAGCGGTTTACGGGTGATGTGACGTGGTGCGATACCGGGAAAGCAACTGAATCATTTTAACTTCGGTCGCTTTTATTGATAAGCCTGCCTACAATGTTCCTAGCTATATGAATTCAAGTGTTTTTATTTTCATTTTTATTTACACTGAGGTTACGTTTGACTTCACCTATGGCGTTATAGAGCACGAAGAGATCCAGTGCGGTTCACACCTTGACGGTTTGAGTTTTGATTAGTGTTTGCCATTTGAAATGTCGACTGTGGAATTGCCCCGGGTACTGTATGACCATACGAACAGTCTTCATAAGCAGGGGTCCAAGAGGGAAAGGGCATACAAAAGGAGATATCAATGGGTAAAGCAATAGCGCCAACGCGACTTTTGAAAAAAATGAAAACTTTTCTTGCAGATTATCCCACCGAGAAGATCCTGTAGCACTTTTTGATGAAAGGGCAGTATGACATGCATTGCGCCGTATCGGGTCAGCAATTGACTCAATCAAAGTTTGAACTGTCACGTACCTGAAAAAAAAAAGACGAAGATATCTGCAATTACGATCGACAATCGGGGTGCCGCATTTCTTCCCGACCCACGCCAGGTCCCGAACATGGTCTACCTATGAACATTGAAGTTCATCATGTCCACTAAACCTTGTTTAACATCCTGGATCGAAACGTTCCTACAATGATGGCTTTCTTTTACCGTCAGTCAGTGAGAAATTCTCTCGGACGGTTTTAGTTTAAGCAAGCCCCTATGAAGAGGAAAGCGTTAAAAAACGTTCAAATGTGTAAAGACTGGTGCGCTTTCCATTCTAGCATGCGCAATTGCGACGATGCAAATTTTGAGGGAAAAAAAACATATTTGGCAAATAATTCCGCCCAGAAGATGTCATCTTTTTCTGCTGATAGCGGTTTACTGGTGATGTGACGTGGTGTGATACCGGGAAAGTTACTGAATCATTTTAACTTCGGTCGCTTCCCAGTCAGCCTCAGTGATCTGGCCCACGTCTGGCAATGTCTGGCAAAAGGTATGGCCCACGTATGGTTTACTGGTGATGTGACGTGGTGCGATACCGGGAAAGCTACTGAATCATTTTAACTTCGGTCGCTTCCCAGTCAGCCTCAGTGATCTGGCCCACGTCTGGCAATGTCTGGCAAAAGGTATGGCCCACGTATGGTTTACTGGTGATGTGACGTGGTGCGATACCGGGAAAGCTACTGAATCATTTTAACTTCGGTCGCTTCCCAGTCAGCCTCAGTGATCTGGCCCACGTCTGGCAATGTCTGGCAAAAGGTATGGCCCACGTATGGTTTACTGGTGATGTGACGTGGTGCGATACCGGGAAAGCTACTGAATCATTTTAACTTCGGTCGCTTCCCAGTCAGCCTCAGTGATCTGGCCCACGTCTGGCAATGTCTGGCAAAAGGTATGGCCCACGTATGGTTTACTGGTGATGTGACGTGGTGCGATACCGGGAAAGCTACTGAATCATTTTAACTTCGGTCGCTTCCCAGTCAGCCTCAGTGATCTGGCCCACGTCTGGCAATGTCTGGCAAAAGGTATGGCCCACGTATGGTTTACTGGTGATGTGACGTGGTGCGATACCGGGAAAGCTACTGAATCATTTTAACTTCGGTCGCTTCCCAGTCAGCCTCAGTGATCTGGCCCACGTCTGGCAATGTCTGGCAAAAGGTATGGCCCACGTATGGTTTACTGGTGATGTGACGTGGTGCGATACCGGGAAAGCTACTGAATCATTTTAACTTCGGTCGCTTTTATTGATAAGCCTGTCTACAATGTTCCTAGCTATATGAATTCAAGTGCTTTTATTTTCATTTTGATTTACACTGAGGTTACGTTTGACTTCACCTATGCAGGGGCGGATCCAGAGCTATATACTGACAGTCTTCCAAATTATCTTTGTTGATTCATCCTCCAATTTTGACCGTCTTCCAACATTAAAAATTGGATACCCGTCAATGTAAACTTGAAAATCTGACCGTCTTCTGGAAGACCCAGAAGACGGCCTAAATCCGCCCCTGCTATGGCGTTATAGAGCACGAAGAGATCCAGAGCGGTTCACACCTTGACGGTTTGAGTTTTGAGCAGTGTTTGCCATTTGAAATGTCGACTGTGGAATTGCCCCGGGTACTGTATGACCATACGAACAGTCTTGATAAGCAGGGGTCCAAGAGGGAAAGGGCATACAAAAGAATGTATCAATGAGTGAAGCAATAGCGGCAACGCGAATTTTGAAAAAAAAAATGTAAACTTTTCTTGCAGATTATCCCAGAGAGAAGATAGCACTTTTCGATGAAAGGGCAGTATGACATGCCGTATCGGGTCGACTCAATCCAAGTTTGATCTATCAAGGACCTGAAAAAAAAAGAGTTTAATGAGCTTCCCCTCGTCAGCACCATTTTAAGGACTTTTAAGTGAAGAGAAAGGAAGTATCATTGACGGTGCAGACTTGATGATAATGACCTGCAAAAAGTTGATGTCAAATTGATCACTTATTGTAAACAATACCGTTTTTTTTATGCAAAAGGTTCATATCAAATCACCGTATATATCTTTAAGAAATAAATCTACTTTGAAAGATGTAATATTTTCATATATGCATCACTGTGACAGGTTTTTTATTAATGATGCAAAAAAGGTAATTTGCGTGGACCCACGAGAACCCGCGTTCGTTCGTGTGGCTTCCCGAATCCATGGCCAGGTCGACGTCGATGCTGTGATGGACTGACATGCGTCATCTGGGATTCGAACCCGTGACTCTACGTCACCATGTTTGATGACGGCTTTGCATTTGTTTTTTGCAGCCAGCCACGCTACCGACTGCGCCGTGACTGACCCGCCCACCCTCCGTAGCTACGAGTTTCCTCTTATAGTAATCAAAGGCAATTTTTGAAAATGATTTCTGGCAAAAAAAGTTGGAGTTGCATTCTTGAACTCGAACCCGCGTACAACTGTCTACCTGCGTCCAAGACGGCGGAGGTACCACGGAGCCAGACTTACTTGGCTACGAAACGAGTGATCAAATGGAAATCTTTTCCTTCTCACGGAGAAGGCCAGTTTGTATACCTACACGAAGATATCTGCAATTACGATCGACAGTCGGGGTGCCGCATTTCTTCTCGAGCCAGGTCCCGAACATGGTCTACCCATGAACATTGAAGTTCATCATGTCCACTAAACCTTGTCTAACAACCAGGATCGAAGCGTTCCTACATTGATGGCTTTTTTTTTTTTTTTTTTTTTTTTTTTTTACCGTCAGTCAGTGAGAAATTCTTTCGGACGGTTTTACTTTAAGCAAGCCCCTATGAAGAGGAAAGCGTTAAAA